GCGATTAAATATTTTATCCAATTGTCAGCCCTAATATATATATATATATATATTAATGCATGGCATTTGTCAGTGTCTGCTCTGTCTGTTTTCTTTAAAGCAATCAAGCATAGGTGCATTAATGCCACTGTTAGAAGCCGTTGGCTGAGTATCTGATTGTAGATGAGCATGTCAGATTCTGCAGGACCCAGAGCTGATTATATCATGTGTGCTTGCTGTGATCACATCAGAGTTATTCCGTAAACAGACGTCAAACCTCGCTTTGCTCCTCAGGATAATGTAATAATACTCTTGCTCACTGCCTTATATGAGTGTTCTTGTTCTTTAAAGTAATATCCAAATCTGTCCTTTTCTTTATTTCCTCTAATGAAATTTCACACATACATTTTTCTTGATCTTGAGGGAAGTTCATGATTTTAGAATGGTGTCATTAGCATTAATGAATGCATAATGAGATTTTGTCTTTTTATGCACCTTTCGGTTTCATGGCCAGTTTTCATTTCTCTATTGGATTTTCAATGCTTTCTGGTGGGTTAGGGTACATTTGTCTTCTGTTCTAGTTCGGTCTCTCCCTGATAGCTAGCAACCATTGATTCAGTGTCAAAAAATGGTTGATTTGTCAATGTTAATTGCATTCAATCAAAATCGCATTTGCACTCGCAATTAATGTGGAAAAAATTTTGAAATTTCAACAAACCACCATTATTGCGATAAATGTTTAGTTGGGCTCTTGACTCTTGTACTTTATTGTTAGGTTTTCATTGCCTGTTGTAACAATGTGTAGGCAATGATAACTAAGATCCTTTGGGATCAGGTGATGGTGTCTGTAATCATTGTGAGGTTATTTAAATAATTGCTCACAAGTGTGTTGTGTTTTTTATGGGTGAATATTGTGTGATACTACAGTGTGAGATTAACGCAGTGGTACAGCTATCATACTTCTATGAATTAACAGAAAATACTAACAAAAAAAGCATCAAATTGCTGAATCAATTAGACATCAAGAATCAGCAAACTCAACAATGGTGACAATCAACAAAATAAAATGTTATGCTGAAATGCATGCTGGGTATCAACATAGTACAAAACTCATTCATGACTCCCAGCATGCATTGCAGTTGATCTGTTTATCTGAATTAGTTTGATGAGTGTCACCATTGTTGAGGTTTGCATGATGAGTGTTGATGTCTAAATCTTTCTGTATATTTTGCCACAGTATCTTTGCATTTGTGAAACAGAACATCTGCTTCAGTAATGAAAGATAAACTTCAACATTATTCAGAATTATTTCTCAAATTTATTACAGCTTGACTTCCATCACAAAAAGTAATCTACTCCAACTTAACTTTAAAACATCTCTTTCTTTATTAATGCACAAGTGTTTATATTAATGCCCTAGAGAATTAACTTAATGCAAATCAAGAGTCAAGAGCCCAACTAAAGCAAACACGGATCACAATAATGGTGGTTTGTTGAAATTTGTAATATTTTTTCAACATTAATTGCGGTTGCAAAATTGAAATTGATTCAATGCCGTTAACATTGATGAATCAGCTATTTTTCACATTGATTCAATGGTTTTCACCTGCTCTCTATCTTGGCTCCTCTCTCTCCTGCAGAAGCGTCAGAAGCGTGCGGAGTCAGACGTGAGCCGTCTCTCGCTCCGGTGGAGGCTGTCTGGACCCAGCTGTGATTACATGCAGTGGCTGCTGGTTTGATGCAGAATGCCTCTAGTTCAGTGTCAGCCGGCGGGCAGAAGAGGGCGCAACAGGACACATCTTCATCTGCTGCTCCTCTTCCTCAGTGTGCTACTAACACATGGACACATTATAATCCCTCCTGATTGTGAGTAGCTCCCCATCCAGACTCTAAACCTCTTTCAGAAAGAATCTTCTATCATGTGCAGGTACAGTGTCATTCCTCGAATGGTGATTAACAAACACCACGTAGGTGCAGTTTCACTCTTTTTGATATAAAACTGTATTTGCTGGTATGTTAAGAAATACTTTTAAATCAGACTTTTAATTTGCAGTGATGTGGTCAAAGACACCATGTCCCGTTCACTAATGTAATGCACAAACAGCGTTTTGACAAACAAATCATGATTCATCAACTACCGTACCAAGATTTATTCTAAATTTATGACAAAATGTAGGAACAACTGAAAGCACACATATATGAAAAATAAAAAAAGGAGGGGGGGCATATAGACATGCTAAAATAAAAATTTATACATCGATATTTCTCAGTTATTCATTCAGATGAATGTAATCTTACCATGCTACTTCATTTTACTTCAGGATTCTAGATCTAATGACTTACAAAAATTAACCGCTGCAATTTTACGCTGCAAACACCAATGGCAGCTTCTACTTGTCCATGAATGCTGGCCATGGTATCATAGCATGGGCAACGAGATGAAGGACAGCAGATTGTAGATGATTTATTCAAAATAAAGAGACAATATAAAACAATACCAAGTAACTCTGAAACTAGGAACATAAAGAACAAATCTAAGCATGCATACAGTACATCCAACAATATATATACAGTAGTCAACATTTGAAGTGGATCAAAGTTAATCAAAGTTGTCCTAAGACAAGAACGGGTATTGTTGTCAAACTGTAACACTGTGTCCCAACCAGACGCGACGCGACGCGCTCTTTTCCATGTAGTTTTGTCCTATCCACCCGCAACAGCGGCACGTGACAATAAGCGACACGGGATTCTATTTTAGAAATGGTTTTTATTTTCTGCGACGTCGCGGCAGGAACAACATACAAAATATGACAGTGATAATCTCAGGTAATGATTATGTGCTTTATTCAGTGTTAAAAGAGTCTAATATGTTAGTTTTAATATTATTTGGAGCGATCTTCATAGCCATAGTGAAAGCAAGATATTTTACCTCAGATCTTGAAAATAAATTAAAGCAAACTTGTATGTTAAAACTGTGAACTCACTGCGAACCAACATGTGTATTCCATAACAATAACAAAGATATCAGTCACTCACTTACTCAAAACTGTTCAGTCCATTCACATTTGAATGGTCTATTTTCCACACTTGTCTTTTCTTCACACTCACTTGCCATGTTTTTGCTGTCACATCGTGTCTACACTGGACGCGACAAAGCATTGCAGATCATTTAAACTAGTGCGTCATAAAGGCATTAGTTTTCTGTCGGGGAATTGTCGCGCCGCGCCGCATCCAGCATCACTGATTATAATGGGTTCTATTGTATTTTGTTGCGTCGCGTCCAGTGTAGACACGATGTAACTTAATCTCGCTTTCTTATGCTGCGTTTGAATTCTCATGCCACATTACTTGAAATTAGCGCGGGCCAAACATTTTTTTCTCCCTGGCCCGATGTTGCCCGCTGGCCACCTATTGAGGAACCCTGTACTAAAACAATGGATAGATTTGGTCACTATTTTTTACAGACTTAATTCACATGTTTATAGCTGTTTTAGGAAACACCATGAGAGAGTTAGGTTTAGGTTCAGGAGCATTTATTGTCCTGCAGATGTGAACTCTACCTTTAACTCAAAACACTGGTTACAACCATGGTTTCTCATGACTGTTTTGTTTATCCTGCAACCATCTTTTCCCCAGTAAAACAAGCTCCAAAGATCACAGCTCAGCCCGTGTCTCACACCGCTTTCTCTCTGGACGATGTCAATCTGGCCTGTGAAGCCACTGGAGACCCGGTGCCCAGGTGAGTCTGAGACGGTCCTTCCTCCTGCCAGCTGCTAAACATCAACCACTTTGCCACATTTTCTACTGTATGTCAAATCATTAGAACCAGGGGTCTCAGATACTGTAAATGTGAACAACATGTGCAGGACTGTAGACACCCAGGACTTGGAAAATCAAAGACATCATGAGAGTTTTTTGTTGATCTTCACAGTAAATCATTATTGGTGATTCATAATCTCTTTGACATCACTGTATACAGCAGGGCTGCCCAGTCCTGTTTCTGGAGATCTCCTGTACCTTCCTGCAGAGTTCAGCAGTTCATTCAGATCCTCAGGAGCACGTGGTCGTCACAGACAGCGGTGTCGCAGCAGGGTTTGGGCTGAACGCTGCAGGACTGAGCATCTCCAGGAACAGCACTGGGCTCAGCTTTTGTAATAGTTGTGTATGAATCGCTCAGTCAGTGTGAAAACCACACCGTTGCTAATGAAAAGGGTTCACATACGTGAAAGACGAGTAAAGAATGTGCAGGAGCTGGAGGGTTTTTCTGAACGGCGGACAGGATGAAGAAGGAACTCACACACAGCTATTACAAAACAAACAGTTGTGGATCACCCAGGTGATGATATTAAGAATCAAGCAAAGGTGAACGGGCTCATAATTTTGTCTTGTGGATCATATGGAAACATCTGTTATGTGAGCCTGTAGTTAGGGCAGTGTGTACATGTGTGCGTATTTGTGTTTTTCTCTCTCCATCCGTCTGTCTTTAGATTTAAATTTGTCTTTCTTTTTTCGCCTCACACTGACAGTTTCCGCTGGGTCAAAGATGGCGAAGAGTTTAGGAGGGAACTGTTTGAGTCCGGGACCCTGACAGCAGATGATAAAGAGGACCTCCGATCCTATCAGGGCTCGTACCGCTGCTACGTGGCCAACGAGCTGGGAACCGCCGTCTCAGACCTGGTGCACCTGATCACAGAGCGTGAGTCTCTCCTCAAGCGCCACAAGCACTACGTCTCAGTGGCTACCACTGGAAAGCAGAATGTATACGGATGAGCCTCTCCATTCTCCACAATAGCACAGTCAACAGCTGCGCTCAGAATGACAGCATGCTTCAGTTTGAGTGGAGAAAACAAGTCCACACACCCTGCTTGGGTGATGAAACGAACTGCGATGACCCACAGATTGAGAGTAAAACCTGCAGCATCAAGTGCAGAGCGCAAACACACAGCAAAGCACAGAACGCAGAGCAAAGCAATGCAGCAGACTGTCAGCAGTGTTGGGGAGTGACTCGTTACATGTAATGGAATTGCGTAATTTAATTACAAAATAAATGTAACTGTAATCAGTTACAGTTACTGAGAAAAAATGTGTAGTTACATATGAAAATGTTAATGTTGTTTCTTCCAAGGCATTGTTAGATTCCAGTGTTTCCTGTCATATCTATGCAAAGATTTGATTTCATCATAGCTATTAAACTCTGTCTTATGATTTTAAACCTGTATTTAACCTCAGAACGATCTCAAAGTAAAAAGAGGTACTAAACTCTGATTTTGTGGTGGCTGTGTTTTCAAATTAAATGATTATAATCTTAATTCAAGTGATGTAGGATTTTGAGAGTAATTAGTGTTGAGTCCTACTGTAAGGTTAACCCTTTAATTGATTAACAGTTGAAAACATTCGCTAGAGATTTTTGAAAAATAAAGTAACTGAAATAGTACGTATTACATTTTAAATAGGGTAACTTGTAATCTGTAAACTATTATATTTCCAAAGTAACCTTCCCAGCACTGACTGTCACTTACATGCAAAAAATAACTAAATCAAGACTGAATCCATGTCCATTATGGATGTGTGTTTTAAGCCAGCTGGAGAAAACTAAATGAAGGACAGATCAATATCCCAGTTAGTGAGCAGACTTTGTGGCTCCAGAGAGATCAGGTCAGTATTCAGACTATCAGAAGAAGAGCGAGCCTGAGGTCTCCTGTAAGCCATTCTTCACGAATTGAATTCACATGCAAAAGATGCCCCAGACTAAAACTGCCGAATTATACTGTACATTCAGTGCTGTAAGCTTATGTGACAACAGCATTGCAACGTTTTATCACTGAATTCTGTTCAAAGACCATAGGCAGTACACAGTATAATGCCCAGTATGCAGTACTCCAGTATTTCATTCCAAAACAGTCATTTATGCATGAATGCTCTGCTCTGATGGAGAATGTGACCATACTGACATGTCATTAGAGTTGCTGCTGTCTTTGTGAAAGCACAAACCTTGCATAAACAGTGAACATTAAAGAATTATTCTGGCTATTTCACAGCCATCCCAACCTTGGCCAAAGAGAAGAGGCAGAAAAGAAGATCGTTTGAGGAGGGAGAAAGCACAGTGCTCTACTGTAACCCTCCCAAGAGCTCTGTCACTCCCAAAATACACTGGATGGACATGCGTAAGTCTTATATTGAATCGACTTTTGCCAAACTAAATTACCCTGCATAATACTTGATTGATAAAACTGAAAATGTATGTGTTTGCTTGTTGTCCAGAGCTGCGCCACATCCCTCTGAATGAGCGGGTGACCACTAGTCTTGATGGAAATCTGTACTTTGCCAACTTACTAGACAGTGACAGCAGAGAAGACTACACCTGCAATGCCTACTACATCAACGCCAGCGTCATCCTCCCTAAAGAGCCCATCTCCATCAGCGTCACACCCTGTGTGTAAACTCTCTTCTGATTTAGTCTCGTACTCTCTGTGTGTGAATATGCAGGCTGTTTCAAATCAAGTAAGATTACAATAACAAAACCCAGGAATGCTGTACAACACAACACCAAAAGAAGGAAGCTGAAGCATGTCCAAAGCGAGTGTGCCGCACTCGTCCTGTAAAGTGCAGTAAAAAGCGCTTCGATCGCCCTCTGGTGGCTGACTGCAGCACAGGTCATAAACCCCGCCCTCGCCACGTAAACTGAACAATCAAATTACATTTCAAATACATTTTCCCAAAGATTATCTCCATCATTTTAGGCAGTACTGATGTATGTTATTTGATGATTTGATGCTATAAAACCGGGGTGTGGTGTCATGACTGTTATCTTGTGATTAACTCCTCAAGATCACTACTGCGCGGACTCAAGCTCCAAATGATGTTTCGACTTCACTTTTCTATAGTGGAAGGAAGTGGAGACTCGACATCCAGCTCTTTTACAGTATATGGTCCAAAGAGGATAATTGAAAAAAAATATTACTAATACTAAAACTGCAAGCAGCAGTTGCAGCACTTTGGCTAAGCATTGCAGTGGCAACATTTTGGATACTAAAGAGCAAATCCTTTTTGAAATATTTCCATCAAAGTTGTTGATGCTTTTTATAAGAATTATTTGTTAACTTTTGATAAGCATGTTATAAAAAAAATTAACTGAGCCATGGAGTTTGGGTGGGGTGAGGATTGTGTCCTTAAAATGAACAAATAAAGAAATAAATAACACAGGTAAAGGACAGATAATACAAATGCCGTTATAAATGTATTGCTACAAATGACAATAAAATCTGTATATAAATATATATATACAGGATTTTATATAGGACTGATTCTGACAAACTTACAGAAATCTTAATTATTGATTTTTTTCTTTCTTCTTCTTTTTTTTTTTGCTTAAAGAACATGCTCTTAAGTTCATAAGTTTTATTTTATTTACACATTTTAAACATTTTTTCTGGACAGCATTTAAAGGGGTCATATGATGCTTTTTTAAAGATCATTATTTTGTGTATTTGGTGTAACAGAATATGTTGACATGCTTTAATGTTCAAAAAACATTATTTTTCAAATACTGTACATTATTGTAGTTCCTCTATGTCCCGCCTCTCTCAAACGCTTCGTTTTCTACAAAGCCCCAGATTGTCATAGTAAAGTCAGAATTACCTCCTCTCCTAGGTTCACGAAACGGTCGTCCATAAAATGCATTGCTGTTCTGTTGTAAGTAATTTTAAAGATTCCTAAATGCATCTACTTTCGGAAGGCCAAGTAAAGTGCTTTTGCTTTCGCCTAGAAACACACAGCGTCTCCCTGACATGGCTGCTTCAACACTAACTGCGGTTACTGAAACCACCCCTTTCTTTCTTTGCGTGCACATTTGGGCCGCATTGTGCTAATATTTCCACATAGTGAGGTAGATATGTGGGGGCGTGTTAGAACGAGCCGTTTTAGGGGGGCGTGGCAGAGTCTTAACTTTGATAAAGAATATCTCTTTGGTTTTGAGACTTTAGTCTTTGCAACTTCAGGGATCTTATCTATGCACAGTCAGCTTGTAACACTCCAAAGAGAAAGGAAAACTTGAAATCGCATCATATGACCCTTTTAAAACATTTCACCAAAATAAAAGCTCTAGGATTTGGAAATGAGTGTTAGCATGTTTGAAAATGAAAAATTTAAGACGTAAGTATTAGTACATGTAGTGTAAAATAAAATGATTATTATAATTGTATTGAATATTCACATCTATGGAGGGAAGTGTGACTAAGACACAGTGCCCCATTCCCTCCTCAGGCAACCATGCAGGGTTACATACACACGGATTCACTTGTGCTCTTCTGTTTTCACAGCAAATTCTGTGGTGAAGAACCGGCGGCCCCAGCTGCAGAGGCCAGCGGGGTCCCACAGCTCTTACCTGGCGCTCAGGGGCCAAACGCTGACTCTAGAGTGCATCCCAGAAGGCCTGTGAGTATTCAGCCAATGTGCTGTCAGGGCCGCTGAGTTTACAACCAGCATTAGCAGAAACCTCTGCATGCACTCTTCAGCTGACAACATTTGAATCTGACGTGTGTGCTGCACGTATTTACTGTGGTTTACAAGGATTTTGTCAGTTTAAATGTCTGAATAAAACATGACGCGTGAGGATGAATCTGCTGCTGCTCTCTGAAGTTCAAAAATCACATTCAAAGCCAGAATTCAATATTCAATGCACAGTGGTGTTTATCAACCATTCTTCTCAAGACGAAGACAGCATTTGTACAAATATAATAAACATATAGCAGACATAAATCCAATAAACAGGTAACAAGACATACAGCCTATAATGGATATTATACATATGTAATATTGTGTATATAACAGCTAACTGTAGAGTTTTAATGCAGGATGTTGAGACAATAATCAGCCAAGTAGAAACGGCCGTATTCAAATAATAATGATGCTGCTTATGTCATGGTCACTGGCCAGAACAGACCAGTTAAAGCTGTGACTGGTGTTTGCAGAGCAAGAGTTTACTGGAAAGGTAAAATAACGGTTTTAAGTTCTTAATCTTCTGCTTTTAATATTCTCTCTACACTTTTGTCTTGAGAAAGTACATAAAGACGTCGTAAATATAAGACACACACTGTAAAACCAAACAAATTGACATTTACATTCATGCATTTAGCATACAGCAGCTTCCAAAGAGCAGGAACAGAGCCAGTAATATTCATGTGGTTATTGTTCAGTCTATAATGATGAAAGGCTGGTCTGATCTGTCAGAAAGGCACTGGATGGGCTGATCTCATTTGACTGGGGCAGCAGCAGTCCTTAAGCAGCACTCTGCTTGTGTTTAAGCCCCACTCCAGAGGTGCGGTGGGAGCGGATGGACAGCCCTCTGTCTCCGGCGCGGGTCCGGATGCTGAACTACGAGCACTGGCTCCAGATCGAGAGCGTGTCGGAGGGGGATGATGGCGAGTACACATGCACTGCCCAAAACAGCCAGGGCTCCGTTAAACACCACTACGCCATCACGGTCGAGGGTAAGACTCACTGCCAGATGACACAGTATATACTGCAACAGATAACATGCTTTTCTAACAGCTTGAGTTGTGTTTATTGTGGGCAGCTGCTCCATACTGGACCAGGCGTCCTGAGGACCAGCTGTACGCCCCAGGAGAGACTGTGAGGCTGGACTGTCAGGCTGAGGGCATTCCCACCCCGAACATCACCTGGAGCATCAACGGCGTTCCCATCGCAGGTACCAGAGCTGTCAGTGAGCTCCAGAATACAGAGCACAGAAACATTTCTTAGTCTCTGCGTACTTACTTTCTGTAGGTTTGATGGCTTTATTATTATATTAAAGTGTTAAAATGGTAACAATAAAGAAATAACACTTGATTGAATCAAGTTTATTCAAGGAATGGGTCCATTCAAGATAAACCCAAGTTAAATGTCTATTGAAAAACAAGCAGTTTTCAAAGCATAATACAACATGTGGAATTGGCAGGCAAATTTAGAAATTCAGCTGTATAGAAATAGCACGCTCTAACAGCGTGATATGACACCATTGACAGCATCACCAGGTGGCTAATTTTTTCTTCTGTTCTTATGATTGGCCATGTTTTTCATATCCTCATGAATTATGATGGCACCTGCAGGTCAGTTTAGAAGTGAACTGGACCAGCGGTTTCTGTAGTTCTAGCATGATTTTCTCTTTTATAGTGCCATCAGGTGGCCTAGCCTCACTACTTCAGCTTACGTGTCCTTAGATTGGTGCTTTACATAAGTGTTTCAGATTTAGAGGAAATATCTGATATATGTGTTTGTTAGTTTTATCCATTTATGTGAAGCTGCAAACTTCTGCGGCTCGTTGGTGATGTGACTCGCAGGCTTCATTACAACATGACTGGTGTGTTAGTTGACGCGTCTTTGCTGTGATGGGTGGCTAAAGGCTTGCTACTGTAGGGGTATGCACTATAAAATAGATTGCCTCATCAAATTTAAGCGGAAAGGAAGAATGAAAAAAGGAGATAAATAAATAACAAAACAAGAAACTGCTGGCTTTCCTCTGCAAGAAGCAGCCAAATTACTTTCAGACATACGTCTGCAGTCACCACCAAACACAAACACTAGAAGGGGAAAGACATTAGAACAATAATAAACCAATACAAAAAGTACAAAAAAAAAGGAAAGAATACAAAAAGTCAGAAGTAAAAAAAAAAAGTACTTACAATGAAAAATGGTTATACATTAAAATGAAAATGAGGGGCGTAAGAGGAAGAGAGCATTAAAAACAGTGAATTGTATAAACAAGTATATATTTATATATGACTGTGTATGTCAAGAAATTGTCTTAAACATTAATTCATATTTTTTCGTTGGTAAATGCCACACTGTTTTCCTAACTCTTTTGAGACACTTTTCTCTCTGTGGAGCTCTGTGGTTCACGTCGAGTCAAGTCTGAGGTTTAGTTTTCCTGCTGTGTCGCAGGGACGGACTCGGACGCCAGGCGGCATGTGAGCTCAGGGACACTGATCCTGACTGACGTTCAGTACAGCGATACGGCGGTCTATCAGTGCGAGGCCACCAATAAACACGGCAATATCCTGGTCAACACACAAGTCCATGTAGTTGGTGAGCACCATTTAATTCAATGGCCTTCGCTTATTTGCATGTGTTCGCTCCACGCTGTAGAAAGCCTGGGAACGCTGTCGCTCCAGAATGAATATGGGTTTGTGCTTGAAACTGAATGGATTCATTTTGGTGCTATATGTGAGTAAACAGCCTCCCCTCTGCCTGCCAGAGCTGCCTCCTCAGATCCTGACGGCAGACGGGCTCGTGTACAAGGCCACAGAAGGGCAAGCGGTTCTGCTGCGGTGCCGCACGTTTGGCTCCCCACAACCCAAAGTCGACTGGTGAGCATGGGGTTTTGTTTTGTTTTTGAACACATTTGCTATGTTTTAAAGGGATCGTGACATGAGAGATCAGCTTCCCCTTATGGTTTTTGCAGAAAACAGGTATTTGTACCATAATATATATATTATATATATATATATATATATATATATATACATAAAATATATTTTTATTTTTGTGCAAAAAACTTTGCTAGCATTATAAGTGAACCTTTTAAACATATTAACATTAAAAAAAGATTTAAAAATCCACGAAACCTTTAATGAGAAGCAATGATGTATGTCATCTTTGTAGAGTTTGATGAAAAGACCCATTTTTAGAACACGTGTTCTGAAATTCTGGAAATTAGAGAAAGAATCATGCACTAGTAGTCCAGCTTTTTTGGAGGATGTGTGTATAACGCTGTGGCTTTGAATGTGTGCAGGGAGATTTTCGAGTCTGGTCCCGCTCTGGCCAATGCTAAAATGTCTCAGACGAGCGATGGAAATCTTCAGATCAGTGACGTGAGTGAAGACGACAGCAACATTTACACGTGCTCAGTGAGGCACAGCAACAGGAGCATCAGTGCTGAGCTGGAGGTCTTGAGTAAGTCCAAATCATTTCTCACTGAAGGTGCAGTAGCTTATCGCTCAACATGAGATCAGAATTACACAACGTGCTTGCTTTATACACAAAGGGCTTTCCAAAATGGACAGTGGCATTCAGAAGTCTGGGATCAGTAAGATTTTGATGTTTTTTAAAGAAGTTTCTTATGCTCATCAAGGCTGCATTTATTTGATGAAAATTACAGAAAAAAAACTGTAATTTTGTGAAATATATTTGCAATTTAAAATAACAGCTTTTGATTTTAATATGCTTTAAATTATAATTTATTCCTGTGAAGCAAATCTGAATTTGTAACATCATTACTCCAGTCTTCAGATCCTTCAGAAATCATTCTAATATGCTGATTTACAATCAATGTTAAAAAAAACTGTTTTATTTTATAAAATAATATTTTTTGGGACCTGTGATTTTTTTTTTTTTTTTTTTTTTTTGGTTAAGTTAAACAGAACAGTGTTTATTCACAATATTGTTACAATATACACAAGTTTGGGGGTCAGTACATTGTTTAAGACAATACTTTATAAATAAAAAGTTAAAAGAACAGTGTTAATTCAAAACAGAAATGTTGGTAACACTTTAGAATAGGGAACACTTATTCACTATAAACTATGACTTTTCCCTCAATAAATTCCTAATTTGCTGCTTATTAATAGTTAATAAGGTAGTTGTTAAGTTTAGGTGTTGGGTAGGATTAGGGATGTAGAATAAGGTCATGTAGAATAAGGCATTAATATGTGCTTAATTAGTACTAATAAATGGCTAAAATTCTAGTAATATGCATGCTAATAAGCAACTAGTTAAGAGACATTAAAATAAAGTGTTACCATTGTCTTTATCCAATGTATAAACAAATATCCAAAGTATAAACAAATTTCCAAAACCAAATTTTTCCAAGACCGCAAAAATAAATTTACAATTAACTTTATCAAAAGCTTTTTCAGCGTCTAAAGATACTATTATTGCCTGTAACTGATTACGCTGTGATATATCAATTCTATTGAAAAGTCTTCTTAAATTACTTGAGGAATGACGACCTTTAGTAAATCCCGTTTGATCTTTATGAATAATTGTAGAAATTTTTGATGCCAAACGAAATGCAAGAGCTTTAGAAATGATCTTAATATTGGTATTTATTAAAGGTAATGGACGATAACTAGAAGGCAACGTTGGATCTTTATCAGTATTCATATGAGATGGAATCTTACCTTTTGTCCTCCAACCCCAATTAAACACACCTGAACCAGCTAATCAAGCACTTATAGGCATACTAGAAACTTACCAGCAGGTGTGTTGAGGCAAGTTGGAGCTAAACTCTGCAGGACACCGGCCCTCCAGGACCGAGTTTGGGCACCCCTGCCCTAAAATAAAGTGTTACCGAAATTTTGTGTTACAATATACACTACTATCAGTGGCAGTTGGTGGACTATTTTCTAGGTAGGTCACCACATCCAACAATTTTAGCATACATCCTGGTAATATTTATCCCAGTATAACAAAAGGAAAATTATTAAGACTTGAAACATTTTAAATAAAGATAATTGTTTTACCAAGTTACAGACTGAGGATGATTCCCACAAAAATATCTTTTCTGCAAGCTTTTTTCAAGATAGATTAAACATTCGTAACTTTCATAATTCACAATTTGTATACAGTGCAACAGCAAAAACTGTGAGGAAAAAAATTAACGACTTACAGTAGTAAAGACTTATATTGTTAGAAACTATTTCTTTACTTTTTATTCATCAAAGAATCAAAGAAAAAAAGTATCACAGGTTCCAAAAAATTGAGCATAAGAGACTCCATTAAAAAACATCAAACATTTCACTGATCCCAAACTTTTGAAGGGCAGAGTAGTAAGAACTTTATTTTCTTTTGAGCTTTGCATCAACAAGGCCACACTCTCTCTTGGTTCATGTTAGCCAAATAGCTAGCTTTGGACATTGTTGAGGCTACTGTTGTAGGTACTGTTCATTTGACCAAATTCATGCCAATAGTTTATGCAGTAATTTAATGCTGGTTGACGTTAATATAATAGATTGTAGGAACAAAAGCAAACAGCAATAGATGGTTGCACATCCAAGCCAAAAAGCTCCCTACAATATGGGTTGAAGGAGGGAAGTAGTCCAAAAACCTAGTGCAAAATCACATTCAGGTCTTTGAATCATTGAATCTTTCTCCTGTATGTCACATTAATGAGGTAAAATGGGTGGTGAATGTCGTTTCATGTTATTGTCTCCAGACAGAACTACGATTGTGGACCCTCCTCAGGATCTGCGGGTTTTACGTGGAGACGATGCTGTTCTGCAGTGCAAATATACAGTGGACCACAAGTTAAAACAACCCACAATTCAGTGGAAGAAGGACAAACACAAGATCACATCATCTGCTAATGATGACAAGTAAACACACCACATAAAACTTATCTCTGCTATTTTGAGCTTATCGGTACCAGCAGTTAACAAAAGTGGCCAAACTGCTGTCAAAGCTGAGTTTCTGTTGATTCTGTTTGTTGTTGTGTTTATTTTGAGTAAATATTGTGTAAAAGTTCACTGGCCGCTCTCTTTCGAGATGCCTACATCAGCGTGTGCAACTAACTGAGCAAAACAGTGCCATGAGTTACGTAAACATCACACATGGCGATAACTTCAGTGCACTGCTGCCAAAAGCAGCTGGCCATAAGAACGGCATTGTCCTGCAGTGGATTTGCTGGTGTTTATAGCTTGTGATTTCAATGGTTGCAGATACACTGAATACGCAGACGGCTCTCTGAAGATCACTGACGTTCAGATGGAGGACACAGGATCCTACAGCTGTGAGATCAGCACTAAACTGGACTCGGTCAGCGCCACCGGCTCCATCACCGTACAGGGTGAGTCTGTCACTGTCACCAAATACAGTGTTTGACACTGCCTTGCTTCTGAAAGACACTGATGTGTTGGACACTCCTCAGATAAGCCCGGTTCTCCTCACTCTCTGGAGTTGTCTGAAAGGAAGGAGCGTAGAGTCACGCTGTCCTGGATGCCAGGCGCTGAAAACAACAGTCCTGTATCTGGTAATCGAAATCAAGTCTTTGACTGTGCTCACCACAGCCCACCGCTTGTATTCTGTTTATTCAGTCCTGACACCATTATACACACCATTATGGAGCACCCCTTTTATCAAATCCTCAATACACTCTAGATGCTCCACAAAAAAAAAAAAAAGGATCTTTGTAGGAGTAGGATAACGAGTTTTCTCAAGAACCTTTTGGATCAGACATTGCTACGGTTTGACTGACCTTTCATCTCTGTTGTCCATCAGAGTATGTTATTGAGAAGAAAGAGGAGCAGAATCCAGAAAAGGGCCGCTGGGAGGAGTTCAGAAGAGTTCTTCAAGACATCAGACACCTGGAGATCCACCTGCAGCCTTACAGCACATATCACTTCCGGGTCAGAGCTGTCAATGGCATAGGAATGAGCGAGCCCAGTCCTCCCTCAGACTCATACAGCACGCCAGCAGCCAGTAAGACTCTCTGAGCTCTGAAACATGTTCTACAAGCTCTTCAGTGCTCATGCTTCCAGCTACAGGAGTGACCAATAACATTTATTTTGGGCATTTTGCCTTTATTTAGATAGGTCAGTGTAATGATAGGAAGTGAAGTGGGAGAGAGAGAGCGAGGGGGATGGGATCGGGGAAAAGGTCCTCGAGTTGGGATTCGATCTCGGGACGTCCGAAGCGCAACAGCACTGCATGTCAGTGCACTGCCCACAAGGCTATCAGTGCCGCAATAACACTTTTCCATGGCACAGACATGTAAAGGTTTTTTCACTGCAAAACTGAGTTTTCTTCTTTTGTATTTTCTAGTCTTGTTTTCAAGTCCAGTTATCTAAAGATTCATAAATCAAGATACATTTCCCTGACATGCAAAATGGCGTAGGATTGTGAAAAAAAGTGTTAAAATCTGCAATGGAAGTTTCACCCCAATCTCATGAGAAAATTTATTAATTTTACAAGGTGGGGATTTATGAATTGGTAGAAATTCGTTACTTTAAAAAGCTATATTGTGTCAGCGCCAAAAGTCTGGTGGGCAGCGCGCCGAACATATAGACGTCCTGAGGCTCACTGACCTTTCCCAATCTCATCCCCCTCTCTCTCCCACTTCCCTTTCTGTCTAATAACTGTCCTATCAAAATAAAGCAACAAAAAAAACAGCAAAAATAAATCTTAAAAAAGAAGAAAAAAGCCTTATTGTATTGATGATCTCTCTTGCACACAGAACCTGACATGAACCCAGAGAATGTGACGACGGTGTCTACTGATTCTGACAGTATGGTCATCACATGGCAGGTGATTAACGATCTCCAGCGCTGCTCCTGGCGAGCTGCCACTCTGCAGATTTCAGCTCAACTCCAATCCAACACACTTGAAGCAGCTCATCAGGGTGTTCAGTGTGGATCATTACAGACAGGCGTTTGAGCTGAAGTCTGCAGGACGGTCGCTGTCCAGGAGTCTTCTCCAAGAGAGAAAGCCATATTACATGTGACAAAGAGAAGATGATTTTGATGCAATTGTCACAATTAATCTCTTTTTTTCTTTTTTACTTTTTTACATTTGAAAGGAACTGGAGCAACGACAATTTAATGGACCAGGTTTTAAGTACAAGATCTACTGGCGTCAAGCTTCAGGCAGGAGTCCACACTGGAAGGAAAGCAGCGCCTCAAATCCTCCATTCATCGTGAACGGCACCGGGACCTTCATCCCCTTCGAGATTAAAGTTCAGGCAGTCAATGAGCTTGGTGCAGGACCAGAACCAGATGCTGACATCGGCTACTCGGGGGAAGACTGTGCGTTCTCAAACATTTTCCTGCTTCAGTTTTACCCTGTGCTTTGCTTTATCTTAGCCCAGCAATTCCAGAAAAAAATATGTTTCTGTTTATTTTTTAAATCTTTTGACAGTTTCATAGAAATGCCTCTCATTCTCTCACAGTACCTCTGGAAGCTCCTTCAGAGGTGTCAGTGACCGAGCTGAACAAAACCGCTGTCCTGGTAAGATGGAGTCCAGTCAGCATGGAATCTGTCCGCGGACACTTACTCGGCTACAAGGTACATAAACCATCATTTATAGTTTCTGCACTTGGCTCCCAGCTAGAAATTGTATTGTTCTAAGAATGTTCTGAGAACATTAGGTTAAGTTCTGGGAATGTTTTCAGCGCCAAGTTTTATTTTTGTTCCCAGAATATTCTGCTAAAAGATAGGATAACATTCTCTAAAAACATTCTAAAAATGTTTATTGATAACATTATTAGAACATTATCCCTAACATTCTAATAAATATTTTAATGGGAAGCTTCCCATTTGACATTGGATGTGGACTCAAATGTTGCTCAGATGTCAAATTTTGGTTGAAAGTAAAACCCAACCTTTTTTTGATAAAGCTCCAACTTCATTAAATAACTCCAAAAACAGTATTTCCAGCTTCACCTATTATAAACCAGTTTGACTTTATTTCTGTCATATATATATACAAAAATTATTGATATTAACAGAGGTTTAGATGTTGATGTCTGTTTAAAAGTAATAGTTTGGGTTGATGTCACCATTATGGTGATCAGTGTTTGCTTTAGTTGGGCAGTTTGGCTCTTGACTTTTCAATGTTTTTTCTCTAGCTGTGGTATCTATGTTTGTTATGGCAAAACAGCAAGAAAACATGATTAGATAATGCTGGTTATTTGCTGATGATAGAGATATAATCATTATGTAGCAGTCTGGTTATCTGATTTCTTCCAGTCTAATCTATGGTATTAGTTGCACATTATTTATTACAGACACTCAGTGGTTCTTCAGACTGAGATCCAGCAGTGTTTTAATCAGACCTCTTCAAGCATTAAAAAAATATATTTGTTATTAAGAGTCAGGTTATGAATCTCAGCAATGATGACATGCTTCATGCTGCAATGCATTCTGGGTGCATCATACAAAACTCATCTGTGGCTCCCAGAATGCATTCGGCATGAAGCATGTCACCATTGATGACTTCAAACCAAACTATTATTTTCAATAAACTGTCAACATCTAAACCTCTGTTAATCTTAATAAGAACTTTTGTAATTGTATGACAAAAATAAAGCCAATCTGGTTTATAACAAGTGAAGCTGGTAATGCTGTTTTTTTGTTATTTAATGACAATTGAGGTTGACATCAAACAAAGGGTGGGTTTTCACCTTCAACCAAAATTTCACATCCGCATCCACAAGTCTACATCTAGTGCACTGGGAACCTTCCCGCTAAAATATTTTTTAGAATGTTAGGGATAATGTTCTAATAATGTTATCAATAAACATTTTTAGAATATTTTTAGAGAATGTTATCCTACCTTTTAGCAGAACATTCTGGGAACTAAAATAAAACTTGCCACTGAAAGCATTCCCAGAACATAAAAAATTATAGAGGGGCTGCTGATTCTCATAGTTGTTTTTCGCTCTCTCTCTCTCTCTCTCTCTCTCCTCTGCGGTTCTCGGCTCCAGGGGGAGTCTATGGGACTGACTCCCTTTTGGAGCCAGCCTCTAGCGGCCAGTTGACGAATTGCAGTTTTAGTCACTTCCGTGTTGGCTTCACAAGAGAGAGCGGGAGGTTGCCGCTTGGTAATGATGCTAAAAATATAGCTGTGAAATCACATGAATAAATTATATTTTAAAATATTTTAAAATAGAAAACAGTTATTTTAAATAGTAAAAATATTTCAAAATGTTACTGTTTCATTCTTGGCAGGCTTTTTTTAATAGTGTTCATATACCGGAATTATATCGTATCAACCGAAATTAAGAAATATATCGTGATATGCGGAGAAGATCTTGATTAGGTTAAAACCGAAACCAAGCCACATATAAAAAATGTCAATAATTATCAAAACCGGACGATATGAAACATTATATCATTAATAAATATTTTAGTTATATCGCCCAGCCCTAGTAAAACCAGTGAGAATTTACAGAATACAGTTTATTTAAGCAGCAAAGAAAATAATACAATATCAGTGAATTAAGTGCTACAATTGTTTCAGTTACAGCTGATACATCGATAGATTATACCGACTGTTAGTGCAAGTTTGAGCTCAGTGTGATCGATGATTTCAAGCCAGAGCACAGTCAGTAGTTTACAAATGGATGGTATTTACCTTAAAGGGGTCCTATTATGCTCTTTTACAAAGTCTTGATTTTGTTTTGGTGGGTGTACTAGAACAGGCTCTCCTACTAGGTTGTTCGAAAAACACATTATTTTTCACATATTTTACATTATTACAACACCTCTCTCCCCAGTCTGGCATGAACGGCTCGAATAGTTCCTGTATCAAATGAAGGCCCGCCTTCTGAAATACGAAATGTGCTGTGATTGGTTAGCTGGGCCAGTGTGTGTTGTGATTGGTTAGCTGGGCCAGTGTGTGTTGTGATTGGTTAGCTGGGCCAGTGTGTGTTGTGATTGGTTAGCTGGGCCAGTGTGTGCTGTGATTGGTTAGCTGGGCCAGTGTGTGCTGTGATTGGTTAGCTAGTTTTTAAAAAGTGATTTCTGTTAAATAAAATATCTCCTTTTGAAGTGGACTTTGTGCTTTGTAACTTTGCAGATCTTTTTTAGGCTCAAACAGCAACATTACAGACTAACTAAAGTTGAAAAGGTGAAAAAGCATAATAGGACCCCTTAAAAAAATGATAAATAGCACACATGGAAACAGCTTGTTTACCTTGGAGATATGCTTATATCTGCCTATCAGCAGTGTTAGGGAAAGTAAAATAATGCATTACCCCCTAAAAAAAGTAACTAATTACGTTAGTTACTTTTTTATAGAAAGAATTGTGTAAAGTTACTTTTGCGCTTCATTTGTGTTACTTATACGTTACTTTTTAAACCTGGGCAGGGCTTTCTTGTTTGTTTTTAATATAAAAAGTTATATTTTTGGCAAACGTAAAAGCCCTTTCACACCAAAACTGAAATGAATAAGCCTCAGGCTGAAGGAAAAGTAAAGTCACGTCCAGTGTTGGGAGTAACGCATTACAAAAGTAATAATATTACAGTAGTATATTACTTTTTGCTGTAACGCAGTAATATAACGCATTACTAATCAAATTTGGGTAATATTATTACTCGTTACAATCTCAGTAACGCAAGTTACGATTGGTTAGCTAGTTTTTAAAAAGTGATTTCTGTTAAATAAAATATCTCCTTTTGAAGTGGACTTTGTGCTTTGTAACTTTGCAGATCTTTTTTAGGCTCAAACAGCAACATTACAGACTAACTAAAGTTGAAAAGGTGAAAAAGCATAATAGGACCCATTAAAAAAATGATAAATAGCACACATGGAAACAGCTTGTTTACCTTGGAGATATGCTTATATCTGCCTATCAGCAGTGTTAGGGAAAGTAAAATAATGCATTACCCCCTAAAAAAAGTAACTAATTACGTTAGTTACTTTTTTATAGAAAGAATTGTGTAAAGTTACTTTTGCGCTTCATTTGTGTTACTTATACGTTACTTTTTAAACCTGGGCAGGGCTTTCTTGTTTGTTTTTAATATAAAAAGTTATATTTTTGGCAAACGTAAAAGCCCTTTCACACCAAAACTGAAATGAATAAGCCTCAGGCTGAAGGAAAAGTAAAGTCACGTCTGTACAGTAGAACACAGGAGAAGAAAGTTCAACACTCTTCAGCAATAAAAAATGAAGCACAAATGTTAGTTTATCTGAAGTAATTTTTGCTTATTAGTATGGTTGAATTGGATGATTGAAGGTCAGCAGCAAAGACGCTGGTTAATAAAATGGGATTAAACACATAAAGGATATTTGTGCTATTTAACATATTTATTGCAGGTTTGCATCATATTCTGAGTTTGCAATGTTTTTTTATTCATCTTTTTGTGTAGTGAGATGAAATAATGCATGTTGACATTTAGTCTAGAGCAGGGGTAGGCAAGTTCAGTCCTAGAGAGCCGCAGTCCTGCAGACTTCAGCTCCAACCCTGAAAACAAAACTCACCTGCCTATAGCCTTAGTAATCCTGAAGACATTGATTAGCTTGTTCAGGTGTGTTTGATTAGGGTTGGAGCTGAACTCTGCAGGACTGCGGCTCTCTAGGAC